TGCTTGCTCCTGCTGCTATTCCTGCTGTGAGGAGAGACGAGGAACCTCCATTAAAAGTTTCTGCCAAGTTGTGAGTGCCTGCGAGGTCGTAATGTATATTCCAGGAGACAGTCTGGAAGTGTTGACCGCAGGTGAAGTCTTGGCCCCCTGGAACCCTGCCTGGAGGAGCTGCCTCTCATACTGTCTGTTTCATGCTGTTCCTCATGCTGTCTATATTTCAAGCCTTTATTATCTAAGTGATGTAGTCTGTCTTTTGGAACAACTGTCTCCGAGTCTCTCTCTGTCTTTCTGTCTCTCTGGCTCGTTGTCTCTTGATTAGGAGACGGAATCATTTTTTTTTTTTTTTGCAGTGAATTATGCTTTTTTGCTTTTTACCATGTGATTATAAAACTATAATAATGGTATTTATATCATAATTATGATAATTACGTGTAAGTATAAATTATTCTCTCTCTCTCTCTCTCTCTCTCTCTCTCTCACGTGCTTTTATTCTCAATGCTACTCAATTGTTCAATCTGAACATTCGAAGTCATGCATTTGTTGAATTCAAAGATTCTAACTCAGGTTCTTCACTGAAATTGGAATTTAAATGTTGCAAAGAATTATACTGAAACTCAAGAAGTACGAGGATGTGCATGTTGAATGTCAGCAGTTAACCGGCATTATCTGAATCCCTTCAAAGATTGTACCAAGCTCACACTCCAACAGCAAGTTAAATCTCCAGTGCCCTTTGTCTCTACTCTTAACTAACATTGGAGAGAGGGGAGGGGAATACAGAGTAGATACAGGGGAGAGGAGAGAGAGAGAGAGAGAGAGAGAGAGAGAGAGAGAGAGAGAGAGAGAGAGAGAGAGAGAGAGAGTGTGTGTGTGTGTGTGTGTACTTCCCTCAGGGCTAATATCAGAATACTGTTTAACATATTGGTCAGCGTTAGATGCTGAACTCTATAACATCATAACGTGTAATGTGTTGTGGGCAGAACTTGCCAGATTGTAATCTGCATATACCTCAAGCTGCACCCTTCATGGAGTAATAATAATAATAATGATTTTAGCAACGCACATTGGTTCACGGATCACAAGTTATCGTAATCTGAACGCCTCCCATTTCACAGGCGCTATATGACTTCCCCCTACGTGTTTAGCGCTTCTCCGTGAAAATATCATGTTAATGTAACACTATATTGCAGATATTAATTCTTTTAACAAATCCAGTGCGCCTCATGAGAGTCACTTGCCCGTAGAAATTTAGCGAGCTCTGAACGAGATGTTATGTATCTCGCTAGAGCTCAGACAAAACATCGACCTCTGAACGAGACCTGATACCTGCACCTCGCTAGATCGTAGGATTAGATTTCTAAATTTTACTGCCGAAATGGCTAGTTTATTGTGCACCCCCATATCCAGCCTGTGGGGATCACAATTACATATTTATTTAAGATCTATATTTGAGTTATGACCAACAATTTGGCATTTTATACGTATAAAAATACTTTGACATATCACATAGGGTATTATATCTGTATCTCTGTCCTCCTCCATAAGTGAATAATCAGACACAGTGTGTTCAAGAAAGTGGCCATAAGGCTGACCATGTCATACTCTGTATTTAGTTTGATTATCATCCGTGTGTCTGACAAGCTGCCAGTACTAGTAACCAAGCCTAAGCCTGGTTACTACAACAGTCCTCCTCTTGTTTACGTTTCAGGACGACGGGCAACCAGAACAGTGGCCAGATTAGATTTAGATTAAATTATATTAAGTTCGGTTAGATTAAGTTACAATAACTTAAGCTAAATTAAATTAGATTAAGTTCGATTAGATTAAACTGAGTTATATTAAGAACAAAAAAGGTACAATACCATGACTGGAACAATACAGAACCCACAGGTAAATTTCGCTCTCTCTCATGTGTCCGGGTTATTTGTATATTGGATTAGATTAAGTTAAGTTCTGTTAGAGTTAGTTAGGTTAGATAAACCTATATAAAAACACATTTAACCACAACTAATCAAATGAAAGCGGTTGCAACACGTCCGGCAGCGCGGAGTTACTGCAGCAACAAGAAATGTTCAAATCTGGACGGGTATCACATGCGGTGGGAGACTGAGCCGTGATAAGCGGTCAGCCACGAGGACAAGTATACAAAAGGAACCACAGAGGCTGATAAATACTGAATCATGTGTTATATTTGTTGGTTAATCTGTAAGTGATTCACCAAGTGTCACACGCCCCTCTCTCTACTTTCTTTCTCCATTCTCTTATCTCTCTCCTCTTCCTATTTCACCCTCTTGTCTGTCTTTTTTCTCTTTCTTTACACAGTGGTGTTTCAAGGGTAGGCTAAGATTCGCTGCCTTTATTTACAAACTAAGAATTATTACTCACGTTAGCTCATTTAAAAGCGTTCCCTAACATTCTCATTCTCTCTCTCTCTCTCTCTCTCTCTCTCTCTCTCTCTCTCTCTCTCTCTCTCTCTCTCAGGGGAAGTCTAAGAGTTCCTCCTTTTATTTTACAAGTTAAGAGTTATTGTGCCTCAGCTCATTACTAAACTTATTCCTTAATCTCACCAAAGTTTATTCAGTGTTGTGTATTTTAGGTTATAGCGAACAACACACACATGTAGGGAAGAGGGTGAAGCCAGGCCAGAGCTTTCACTCGGTCAGCTGAGTTGATTTTCTGTAATCTCCATATGTTGTGAGAACCTATTCCGTATTCGAGTCATCCAGGGAATGAATGGTCGCTGATGGAGTGATGTCCTCGAGAAGAGTACAGCAGGAAACTGGTGACGACTGCCCGTCGTGTGGCGTAATAGCTCACGATGTCGGACCAGATGAGGAAACCACATTGTGTTGTACTTATAGAAGTGCTTAGCCTATATATGTGATTCAGTAGAGTGGAGGGGGTTCTGTCCTTCGCCTATTGGGATGGTGGTAATTAGATAAACCGAGAGAGCTTTGGTTTTGTATGAATTGCAGGAAATTAAAATTCGGGTCGAGGCGAGAGAGGAGTTGCCATGCACGGTTCTCTCTATTGAAACGCAGCAGGAAGTTTGAGTGATAAGTACCCAAAGAGTGACTAAATTTTTGCCTAGTATAAAGTTTTGCAGATTTCATTGCCCAGTAAATATGAAATAAGTCTTGACGCTTCAGGTTTACTGTCTTGCCTGTACGATTCACAAGAGTTATTTTTTATTTTTATTGTTGCCGAATATCATTTTCAGGATGTTAGTGTTACTGTTCGGTGCTACATCCCCTTCCTTCAGTCTCACGACGTAGATAGTAACATCTTGGTGTCTAGAGGCGGTCACCAGTGTTTTCTCAAGAGTATGTGTAATTTGTCATGGTTTTTCCCCGGGGGTATATTGCTGATGGCTGGCGAGTCATCTGGCTGAAGGCAATGGGCATCCCCTCTCACGTAGAAGAAATTGTTAAAAATTGTTTATCAGCATACCCCTGGAGGGAGGTACCTTGATACCAGTGATGGGCTCTTGATATTTAGAGTTGGAAAAGCTCTTTCCTTTCTTAGATCGAGCCAGGTTGATTCCCCAGTTCTCAGGCGCAGTGTGATATGTACGGATGATAACCATCTGCATAGGCATAGGCTTAGGCGATAAAGTAGGGAGTTCAGGTATGCATTCCTCAGCGAAGAAACACGCACATACTCTTGTAGTACGCCGCCACAGACCAAATCTCTCTCAACCTTGACCGTTAAATAATTATCCTAAGAAATTAACAATGAAGGCAGTCACTCAGAAAATATCAAGATGAAATTCCTAGTGCTTGTAGCTTAGTCACGAGTCCCTAGTGTCACACCAGATTAAAAATACTAACAATGTCCAGTACAGGTACATATCTCATCTTGGACTTCATCCAGTAATACTAAGAGTATAGCTGAAGCGGGTTTCGGGGATCAACGCCCCCCGCGGTAAGGTCTGTGGCCACATGGGTCCGTGACTTCACATCGAGTAGTTTATCATAAGGTTAGCTGCAGTGACCTTTACATGAAACATATTAACAATCATATAGCAGTGATAGGAAAACAATACTTTCACTTGCTGTGGAGACTCACACAGAGAAATGTCCCAGTGAATGAAGGTAATCATTTACTGGAAAACACTCAGCTCTTCCTCTGACGCACTGAAACCTCCATATATAAGTAAGCTTGCTGGCTAAGTCGGTAGAGCCGTAGACTTGCAAATGCAAAACCGTCTGTTCAAATCCTCCTGGCATATGCTGCTTCCACGATATTGTGGCAGTCTCTTTTAATTATGTCATACTTACAAAGTTGGCTATTTACCCTGTGTTACGAAAATTCCGAGGCAATGCTAGCTGGTTAGCACAGCAACACAGCAACAGTGGGTTCACCATGCATTGCAACTCAGTATTTAAGAAGATGCATCACTTTGTCTTGCAGAGTTGCAGCTAGCCATGAAGGCTGTCTGGGACTCTCGTCTTCCAGCAAAATTATTTCCTTCTGTCATTGTAGTGGCTGAATAGTGTCGACGGGATGATATCCACGGACCAGGAACCACCAGAGGTTTACAGCAGACTGTTCCTCATGCTTCTTATCATTTGTGCCTTTTTCTTCCATTTAAAGACGGCCCTAGGAGCATTACAGTCCCCTTTCCCTACTCTCTAATGTATCTCTCTCTCTCACGCACACACACACACACACACACACACACACACACACACACACACTCACACTCAGCTTTCTCTTCCCCCTCTCGCATTCTTCTTCCGCCCTGCAGACCCTCTCGTATTCCTCTCCCTCTCCACTCACAACTAGAGAAACAAGACTGATCTACCGGCACACACACACACACACACACACAACACACACACACACACACCACACACACACACACACACACACTACTAATCAAACAGCTGTTACCATGGTAAAGCTATGACCGTTGTATTTGCGTGTTTGTTTAGAGTTTTACCATATTTCTGTGTGCATTGCTTTGCAGTTGTAACACAGGTGTTTTTGTCTGTTTGCAGGTGTGCAGAGATGTTTCCCTCGTCCCTTCATGGACAATCTGCGACCTCTTCAGTTCCGTAAGTATTGCTGTCTTAAACACGTTTTGTTCCGTACACACACACACACACACACACACACACACACACACACACACACACACACACACACACACACACACACACACACATATATATATATATATATATATATATATATATATATATATATATATATATATGCAAAACAACCACTCTGAAAGAATAGAGAAATTCCAAGCGCTTTCGTGACTACTCACATTATCAAGGAACTATGAAAGTAAAGCATCCAAGGAAGCTATATAAGGGGTCTGGCCAACCCATGATGATCCTTTTCAAATCACTTGTTCTCTCTAGGCTGGAATACTGCTGTACATTAACATCTCCATTCAAAGCAGGTGAAATCGCAGATCTAGAGAGTGTACAGAGATCCTTTACTGCACGTATAAGTTCTGTCAAGCACCTTAACTACTGGGAACGCTTGGAAGCACTTGACTTGTACTCGTTGGAACGCAGGAGGGAGAGATGTATCATAATCTACACTTGGAAAATCTTGGAAGGAATGGTCCCAAATCTGCACACAGAAATCACTCCCTACGAAAGTAAAAGACTGGGCAGGCGATGCAAAATGCCCCCAATAAAAAGTAGGGGCGCCATTGGTACACTAAGGGAAAACACCGTAAGTGCCCAGGCCCAAAACTGTTCAACAGCCTCCCATCAAGCATTAGGGGAATTGCCAATAAACCCCTGGCTGCCTTCAAGAGAGAGCTGGACGGATACCTAAAGTCAGTGCCGGATCAGCCGGGCTGTGGCTCGTACGTTGGACTGCGTGCGGCCAGCAGTAACAGCCTAGTTGATCAGGCCCTGATCCATCGGGAGGCCTGGTCATGGACCGGGCCGCGGGGGCGTTGATCCCCGGAATAACCTCCAGGTAACCTCCAGCACCTCACTATCAGATCCCACAACGGTTAAACACCTGACGCGCGCCGACCCAACTTGGATAGGTCCTTTGCACAACTCACCCACAAACTATTCTACCCAAGAAAATTTAAAAATTATTATTTGTCCAGTGTATTATTAAATTCTTCCCAAATTCTATTAATTATAAATGGATCTAGTTTATATAAACCAAAGGAAATATTCATATTATTGTCAAAACTGCTTTTTATGAAACAAGATTCAATTATATTCCTGTCGACCATGGACTTGCTTGATACTACTTTCTCAACTTTTTGAAAATCAATTGGATGGTTAAAATCTCTTACATGAATAAATTGAGCATTGGAATCTTGTCCAGTTCTAATGCTATATTTATGTTGTTTTAATCTTAGTTCGAGATTTTTACCAGTTTGACCGTAATAAACTTTATCGCAAATTTTACAAGGAATCTTATAGACACATCCATCAGCATTTTGGGGGGAATTCTTTATCAAAAGTTTTTTTTACTGTATCAAGATTTTTGAATACAACTTTAATATTAAAAGTCTTAAGAAGAGAAGGCATATCAACCAAGTTTTCATGGTAAGGGAGAACCAACATATTTTTAGTTGAATAAGGCTAGTTGTCCCTTTTTGGATTGTAAAAAGTATTTCTAGCAACTTTAAAAGATTTATCAATTACATATATATATATATATATATATATATATATATATATATATATATATATATATATATATATATATATATATATATATATATATCGTGCCGAATAGGTAAAATTGGTCAGCAAGAACTCATTTTAAATTAAGTTCTTTCTAAAATTTTCTCTTATAAGCTTAAAGATACATTTTTTCATTTATGTTTATGTAAAAATTAATAATTATGTACGAAAATAACCTTAGAAAACTTGCCTAACCTTGTTATAACAAGCGCAATTTAATTTAGCCTAATCCAACTAGATATATTTTAGATAAGTTTACAATAATTTCATAATAAACAATGAAATATATTTTTTTCGTTAGATTCAGAATGATTTTTGCGAAATTATTGCATACACAAATTTTCGCTTGTCTTATTCGGCAAGAAAAGCGTTGCTATTTAGACCAAAATAGCAAGCTTTACTTATTCGGCACGTAAAATAATCGTAAAATGGCGATCTTAACAACGCAGAACAAGTCAAATGGCAATGGAAATCTTTAGCCCAAGATCTTTCACATTCTTATGCGTCGTCAGGAGCTATGCAATGTTGGATATCTAGCAACAGATAGGAGAAAATTTTCTTTGGGGCAAGATAGAAGCGTGCCGTGTTGACATATACCTGGTTGTCGTTATGTCACGCCTATAACCCACAAGTTTGTGTGTATATATGAGCCTAATCCATGTTTGTGTGTATATATGAGCCTAACCCATGTTTGTGTGTATATATGACCCTTACCTGTGTATACGCAACCCTGATTCACATTATGAGTGTAATACTCAGTGTAAACAGCCGTAACCCTCATATCTACATATACAGCCCTGACCTACACGTGTGTAAATACAACCAGATCTAATTAGTGTATATTCAACCGTGACCCATGTTCAGTATGTGTATTTACAAGTCTGACCTACTGGTATATATACAGCCCTGACCCAGTGTGTATTTAAAACCTAGTCCCACACGTGTATATATGACCCTGGCTCAGGTGTATAAATGATCCTGGATCACGTGTGTATATATGACCCTGGACCACGTGTATATATGACCCTGGACCACGTGTATATATATGACCGTGGCCCATTTGTATACATGACCCTGGACCACGTGTATATATATATGACCGTGGCCCATTCGTATACATGACTCTGGACCACGTGTATATATGACCACACACGTGTATGCTTGGAAAAATAACACGTGTGCAACTAACGAGACAGTTTATGTAGGCAACGTTTCACTCTCCAGGAGTTTTGTCAATGTTTTGACAAAGCACATTATCACAAATGCATATATGTGATGCCTCACCATGTACAGATACGTATATAACAATATACTTCCGATGTGTGACACAATAACAACATGGAAGATAATATGTTAGGTAAAAGAACACAGATGCAACTAATGTGATATTTTATTGTGGCAACGTTTCGCTCTCCAGGAGCTTTGTCGAGCCGTTGCCAGACAGCAACCTTGAGTATAATCGTATGTTTGGTATATATCATTCATATTTAGATACCCATGTCTCGTAACGTCGACTGGTCACATGTATTTGACAGCATGAGAATGGAGAAGCGCTGCAAGTCTACTAGCCCATGCTAGGCCTTTCTCAAATCCACCCCCCTCTGTCCAGCCTCTTTTTTGAAGTTATCTAAAGATTTTAGCTTGAGTGACCCTATGTGGCAGACTGAGTGGTAGCTGGAGTCTTGTGCTGCACTGTCCCTTACATCACACAACCGGTCATACATTATGTCACTTGTACAGTTTGACATAACTGAGAATATATGCTGAATTACATTTGTCAATATTAATAATATATATATATATATATATATATATATATATATATATATATATATATATATATATATATATATATATATATATATATTGCAAGACAAGCCACCGGGGGGTGGAAATAATTAGCTCAAGTGCTTTCACACAGAGGCTGGTGCCACCGTGCTAGCATACTCTGACAAAACTTACCATATTTCTCCCGTTGCTGCCCTTGCAACAGCTCCTGATGACTCACTGAGAATTGTTGAAAGTACTTGAGCTAAACGATTCCCCTCTCCCCCGTGGCTTGTCTTGCATCGTTAAAATCGCCTGTCGTGCCGAATACATAAAACTCGCAATTTTGGCTTAAATAACAACACTCTTCTTGCTGAATAAGGCAACCGAAAATTTATGTATGCAATAATTTCGCAAAAATCATTCTGAATCTAACGAAAAAATATTTCATTGTGTTTGTTTATCATTAAATTATTGTAAACTTATCTAAAATATATTTAGTTGGATTAGGCTAAATTAAATTGCGCTTGTTATAATAAGGTTAGGTAAGATTTCTTAAGGTTCTTTTAGTACAAAATTATTATTTTTTACGTTAACATAAATGAAAAAATATATCTTTAAACATATAACAGAAAATTTTAGAGAGGACGTTATTTTAAATAAGTTCTTGGTAATATACCAGTTTTACCTATTCGGCACGACACACACACACACACAGACACACACACACAGACACACACAGACACACACACACAGACACACAGACAGACACAGACACAGACACACACACACAGACAGACAGACAGACAGACAGACACACACACACACACACACACACACACACACACACACACACACACACACACACACACACACACACAGCACAGCACAGAAGGGAACATCAAGAGGGAATATACCAACAAGTGTTGGATGACATACGAACAACTGAGGAGGAGGTGAAGAAGCTCTTAAGTGACCTTGACACCTCAAAGGAGATGGGACCGGACAACATCTCCCCATGGGTCCTTAGAGAAGGAGCAGAGATGCTGTGCGTGCCTCTAACCACAATCTTCAACACATCCCTTAAAACTGGGCAACTACCTGAGAAATGGAAGACAGCTAGTGTAGTCCCCATATTTAAGAAAGGAAACAGAAACAAGGCACTAAACTACAGACCTGTATCTCTGACATGTATTGTGTGCAAAGTCATGGAGAAGATTATCAGGAGGAGAGTGGTCGAACACCTGGAAAGGAACAAGATTATAAATGAAAACCAGCATGGATTCATGGAAGGCAAATCTTGTATCACAAACCTCCTGGAGTTTTATGACAAGGTAACAGAAGTAAGACACGAGAGAGAGGGGTGGGTAGATTGCGTTTTCCTAGACTGCAGGAAGGCTTTTGACACAGCTCCCCACAAGAGATTAGTGCAGAAGCTGGAGGATCAGGCGCATGTAAAAGGGAGGGCACTGCAATGGATAAGGGAATACCTGACAGGGAGGCAGCAACGAGTCATGGTACGTGAAGAGGTATCACAGTGGGCGCCTGTTACGAGCGGGGTCCCACAGGGGTCAGCTCTAGGACCAGTGCTATTTTTGATATATGTGAACGAC